TGGATACTCAGTTCTATGTCGAAAGAGATAGCGGAGTCATTTCTGTATGCAGAAAGCTCTAAGGAGCTGTGGGATGAGATTTGCCAACGCTATGGTGAAAGTAATGGTCCGATGAGGTATAAATTACAACGAGAAATCACGAGCTTGACACAAGAAAATAGCACTGTAACTGAATATTTCAACAAATTGAAGAAGCTGTGGGATGAATATGCTTGTATTGTCCCAACTCAATCGTGTGATTGTGAAAAAGGAAGGCTGGCAGTACAACATGAGGCAGAAACCAAGCTAATGCAATTCCTAATGGGGCTGAATGACAGTTTTAATACTGTCAAGAACCAGATGCTGTTAATAGAACCACTACCAACTATAAGCAAAGCCTATTCTATGATTTTGACTGCAGAAAGACAGATGAGTGTGCAGAGTACTTATGGTGAGAGGGTTGACAATGTTGCAATGATGATCAAAACACGTGGTATGGGTAGAGGGCAAGGCAGAGGAAATAATAATGGGAGAGGTGGATATGGTGGAGGACAATGGAATGGAGGCAGAGGGAGAGGGAATGCTAGATTGAGCAAAGAGGAGAAGGCAAGATTACAGTGTGAGAAATGTGGGATGAATGGCCACACCATTGCTACTTATTTTAAGGTACATGGGATCCCAGAATGGTACAAGGAATATAAGGAACAGCAAGGGAAAGCCTATGCTAACAACACAATGGTGCAGACCACAGAAGAGGGAACAAAAGGGGGTCACAAAGAAGAAAGTAAGGGAAAAGATTTGGAGTCAGTTATCAGACAATTAAATGAGCTAACTCAATACATCAAAGGAAGAGAGGAAAGTGGAAATAAAATGGATTATGCTCAGTTTGTTAGCTTCACAGGGGTAGATGAAAGGGAACATATACAATATGCTTTGTCCACAGTCGAGGGAAGTGCAAAAGACAAGTGGATTGTTGATACTGGAGCCAGCAGACATATATGCATCAACAGAAAGATGATGAGGAATCTCCAAAGGATGAATGGATCAATAATGGTTTGCTTGCCAGATGGATCTCTGAAAGGTGTGGTAGATAAAGGAGAAGTGGTCATCAGTGAGGACATAATATTGCATGATGTTCTATACATGCCAGAATTCAAATACAACTTGATGTCAGTAGCTCAGCTTTGCAGCAATGGAAGAGTAAGCTGGACTTTTGATAACTCACAGTGTACACTATATGACAAGAAAACTCAAAGAGTCATTGGTTGTGGAATTTTAGAAGGAAGTCTGTATGTGTTCAAGGAAAATGAAAAGAAGGAAATGTTTTTCAATTTGACTATGGAAGATTGGCACAAATATCTTGGACATGCTTCATTTGGAGCCCTAAAACATCTGAGTGTGCTAAAAGAAAACAGTAAAAGGGATGAAGAGCAGATCAAGAACTGTGAAATATGTATGAAGGCAAAAAAACACAGACTACCATTCCAAAACAGCAGCATTCACACCTCAGCCAGCTTTGAGCTCATATATGTGGATATTTGGGGACCATGCCAAGAGGAGTCTCTCACTAACACTCCATATTTCCTCAGTATAGTGGATGATTTTAGTAGGGGGACATGGGTGTTCCTTATGAAGAATAAATCAGATACAAGCAAGCTGCTGAAATCTTTTGTGACAATGGTCAACACACAGTATGAAGTTGATGTTAAAAGAATCAGAACAGACAATGGTAGAGAGTTTGAAGAAAAAGAACTGGTAAAACTCTATGAAGAGAAGGGCATTGTACATGAAACTACCTGTGCTTATACACCTCAGCAGAATGGTGTAGTGGACAGAAAGCACAGACATCTATTAAAGGTGGCAAGAGCCTTCATGTTCCAAGGAAATCTACCTATGAAGTTTTGGCCCTTTTCTGTATTAACAGCTGCATTTGTAATCAACAGAACTCCTAACTCAGTGCTCAACTAGGAGACACCTTATGAAAGGCTGACTAAGAAGGAGCCAGACTATCAAAACATAAAACCTTTTGGGTGTTTGGCATATGCAGCTCAGAACATCCCTCATAGAACAAAGTTTGGTGCCAGAGGGATTAGATGTATATTTTTAGGGTTTGTCTCAGGAAAAAGAGCATACCAACTTTATGACTTGGAATCTGAACAGCTAATTGTGTCAAGAGATGTTACATTCTTAGAAAACTCTTATCCCTATCACAACATCCCAACCCAAGATGAACATGTCATACCAGTTGCAACTGATGATGGTGAAGATACCACAGTGACTGACATCACTGTTATCTTGAGGAATGAGGAAGTGGTAGATCAACTGGACAATGGAATAAGAAGAAGTGATAGGAACAGAAGAACTCCAGTGTGGCAACAGGATTATATCTGCCAAGTTTCAGCATTCATGAGTAATGTATCACTTGACAAAGAGCCTTCTCATTATGGACAAGCCTGTAAACACCCAGCTTGGGTGGCAGCTATGCAAAAGGAGCTTGGGAACTGACAACCTTACCTCAAGGAAAAAAGGCTATTGGCTCTAAATGGGTATTCAAAATAAAGAGGAAGGCAGATGGATCAGTAGAAAGGTACAAAGCAAGACTTGTGGCTAAGGGTTATAATCAAGTTGAGGGAGTGGATTACTTTGACATTTTCTCCCCAGTTGCCAAGCTGGTCACAGTGAGACTTCTAATTGCACTCAGTGTACACCAAGGATGGAGCTTGTACCAGTTGGATGTCAACAATGCCTTCCTCCATGGGCATTTGTCTGAGGAAGTTTACATGCACCCACCTCAGGGTTACACCAAGGCTCAGGAGGGACAAGTATGCAAACTAGTCAGAAGTTTATATGGGCTCAAACAAGCTTCTAGAGAATGGAACCTGGAACTGTGTGCTAAACTTGGGATTTTTGGTCTGACACAATCTACTTTTGACCATTGTTTGTTTACCATGAAGAGAGGAGATGAGTTCTTGGCAGTCCTAGTATATGTGGATGATATTTTACTCACAGGGTCAAGTGCAGCACTTATAGCTGAGCTGAGAGGATATCTGGATCATGCTTTTACTATAAAGGATCTGGGGTTAGCACAATATTTTTTGGGAGTAGAGATCATACAAAAGCATAATGGGGTCTTTCTTGGCCAAAGGAAGTATATCTTGGACTTGTTAGGAGATATGGGGATGTTACATTGCAAAGCAGCTTCAACTCCACTGCCACATGGAACTAGTTTACTAGAAAAGGATGAAGAACTCTTGGAGCAGCCTGATCAGTATAGGAGGCTTATAGGTAGGCTCTTATATCTTAACATGACTAGACCAGATGTTTCCTATGTGGTACAACAGCTCAGTCAATTTGTGACATCTCCTTGTACTAAGCACTGGGACTCAGCTTTACATGTTCTAAGGTATTTGAAGGGAAGTGTGGATTTGGGTCTGAACTTTGCCAAAGGTGATCTGTCTAAGCTTGTTGCCTTTTGTGATGCCGATTGGGCAGCTTGCAAAGACACCAGGAGGTCCATAACTGGTTACTGTGTATATTTAGGAGGATGCTTGGTCTCATGGAAAAGCAAGAAACAAGTGATTGTATCAAAGTCATCAGCAGAAGCAGAATATAGAGCCATGAGCTCCACTGTCTCAGAACTCATGTGGATTTCTTATATTGCACAAGATCTTGGTATTCCTTTGGTGTTTCCCATTACACTGCTGTGTGATAATAAGGCTGCCATTCATATCAGTGCCAATCAGGTCTTCCATGAACGTACCAAACACTTGGATATTGATTGTCACTTGGTCCGAGAAAAGCTCAAGGCTGGTTTTATTCAACCACTGCATGTTGGTACTCCCAGTCAAACTGCAGACATCTTCACTAAAATCCTTGGAGGGCCACGTTTTCGGTTTCTCCTTGACAAGCTGGGCATAATGCATTCTCCCTGCCCACCTTGAGGAGGGGGTGTTGGAATATGGATCACAGAGATCAAATGAGAAGAAGAAATGAAGCCATGATGAATAAATAAATAGTTGCTGCATTACTCTCTTTCCCGGTTTTTCCTTATTTTGAATTTACATCGTTTTTTGTTGTTTGCTTTTATCATTCCAAAAGCGGTGTCACGCTTTTTAATAGGATGGTGCGTTTTTCTTTTGGTTAAGTCTTTTCCTATACGACGTCGCACAAACTAGTTAAAGCGACATCGTTTAATTCTTCTTCTTGCATGCGTGGTAGTATAAATAGGGCCTGTATGTACAGTTTGGGTTGATGAATAATATGAGCTGAAAATGGAGAATTTTTCTCTACAAAACATCTGAGTTTTCACACCTATCACCAGTAGATTTGGATTTGACTTTGATATGGAACCCATTAAAATTAATGCACCTATTTCCATTCTCTTAAAGTGTGTTTAGCCTCTACGGGATCTAGTGTTTTTAAATTAAACGAGTTTGGCTCGACTCGATAAGACTCGTTAAGGCTCGAAAATAGAATCTTTATATAAATTTTTCTTGTTCGGCTCGTTAAGACTCGAGCTCGATTCTAGGCTCGTTTATTTAACGAGTCGAGCCGAACTCGGCTCGTTAAGGGCTTGAGCTCGAGCTCGAGCGCCCTAAACTCGAGCTTGGCCCGGCTCGACTCGACTCGTTTACAGCCCTAATGGAATCCACACCCTCTTCCCCCGAATATATAACTCTAACAACCCAACAATTGACACTAAGATCCTATATGACTTTGTGCTCCTAGTTGCTTACTCGGTTCCAATAAATAATCATCAATGAACCAACAATCTATATAATTATAAGCCATTTGCTACATTCAACAATTGGCAGTAAGATCCTATGGAAGGACTTGTGCTCCAAGCTGCTCGCTCGGCTTCAATAAATTATCATCATCAATGAACCAACAATCTATATAATAAAACCATTTGCTACAATTATCCAATAACTTACATTAAAAAAAAAAAATACACACACAATATACAAAAGCTTAGTCTCAACTGAAATCAACATCATACTTACAGTCTTAAGTGAGGTCGGCTAGCTTCTCCTTGTCAACTCTCTGCTCAAATCAAAGCCTTCGAACGAACCACGTTGTACGGGCGGCCGTTCGGCTACAATTTCCCCATCCAATCTCCCGACCGACTCAGCCCCATCATCACTCGTGTAGTCCACATCCAGCACATGAGAAGCATCGAGAGTGCTGAAAGAAGGACACGACTCGACTGACGTGTCCAAGGAAAGTTGTGCTGGATTCGGGCTCGTATTTACGGCCAGGTTTCGCCTGGCTTTATCCCGCCATCTTTTGAGGCCCTCGACAACTTCCGGAGAGAATACGGATTTACGCATGGACGTGCCCATCTGTAAGTTAAGAATTTGCATCCGCGCATTAAATTTAGAAAGCGGATGCGATGTATTGTAGAATTTTTTTCTAAAAAATTATTGTTGTTGTGTGTGTGTGTGTGTGTGTGTGTGTGTTTGTACTTTGTTTACCTGAGTGACCAAAGCGTATAGAGGGAGAGTGACGTAGCCACAGAGAATGGGGATTATTACGCCCATCGCTAGCTTTATTACGATATCTTCCGTTTCTTGGTGGAAACAAGACCTCAGTCCGAATTTATACTGCTTGGATAAATAAATTTAGAGCTTGTGAATAATGCAATGGTTTGATTATAGAGTGAGTGTGTGTGTGTGTGTGTGTGTGTGTTCTTACTAATACTCACCCAGGACCATGTGAAGAAGGCCAGCTGAAAGGAATTCTGCATTGCCCAAAAAGCAAAAGTTATATTTAGTAAATATCTCATCCAAATGAAAAACAAGGGGTAAAAAATAATGAAAGTTGAAAAAAAGAATGGTTCTTGACTGTGATGCTACATTATGGATTTAGCTTGTGAGGAGGTAGATGAGATCATGAAAATTAATTTTAAAACAAAAAATCTACCTGAAATGAGATGAAATGCATAAGGTGGAGTAGCAACTGCGGTCGACGAAACCAGAAGAAGTGGTCTCCCGGTTGAACGAGCGGAGTTCCCCTGACAACATGGGATTTAACATTGGTGTCCAAGCACATTTTGGTGATTATGCCTTGCAGTTTAGTCCCAACCACCAGTAGCATCTGCACAACAATATTTTAGTTCTTACTATATATGTATATTAAACATTAAATATAAGTAAGCAAAAATTGCAAACCATCTCTTACCACTAGCGGGATGAAGGGGAGCCAAGCATAGTTCCGAAATACTGCATTGGGTACAAAACAAATGTTCGGTTAACTTCAGGTTTAAGAGACTCTGAATCTGTGGATATAACACTGTGAAATGCTCGAGCTCTTACCATATGCGTTGAAGAATATGAAGAGTACGGAAAAGAACCAGATCCAAAGACTGGCCAAAAGGGAAAAAAACAATGTCGTCGTCTTAGTTACCATAGAATTGTAAATATTATATAATTTCAAATATTTAACTAGAACATTGTAGGGTAGAAATGATTACCGCATGCCTATGACCACCTCAAAATCTTGTTCAAGTGCTCGTTTTAGATACTTTTGGAAGTCAAAGGTATTCCCTTCGGCAAAGTGGGCCTAAAAGAGGGGGAGAAGATGAAATGTTAGGATATGGCTTACTTGGTGTATACTTTGCTTATCACTAGGTAAAAATAAAATAAACAAAGAAATAATATTACCGCTATGAACCCATGTCGAAGAGTGAAATAATCTACTTTGTAAACTGATCCAAAGAATTGACGGAGAAAACTGACCTGTGAAAAGTGATTTCACGTCATATTCAAACGATGCAATCGAAAATCGAAAAAAATCCTATATTTGAAATGACAAAAAGAAAAAAGTTATAATACCGGCAGACGTAGCATTCTCTGTTCACTCCAGAATTGGAGATGCCGCCTCCCGAATGACGTTTGATGAATAAATTGGAACCTCATTGGGTCTACATTATAAGCAAGGAAGCAAAGCAAGCATTTACTGTGTAAATCCAGATGTTCATGAATTAGCAAGAAATTGGAGTAGAGGTGCCAATGTATGTGACAAAAATTCACATCACTTTTTTGTCATGTTTAAAAAAAGAGCGTGGAAGATTTTCCATCATTTCCCGTATCAATTTCAACATAAAATTGGAAACATCGTATATTTGATTTTCAGATGCTCCCTTTCAGAATTATCTAAGAGAAGTAGCTTTGCCAGGATAGTGCAAGACACAACTGAGTTAAGAGATGCAGAAAAATTTCGCATTTTCGCACGTATAGCTTTCTGTGGTGTCATTGTAATGATATATATGACTTAAGAGATGCAGAAAAAATTCACATTTTCTCTTATATTTAAGGCTTTCTGAGGTGTCATTATAATGATATTAGATGCGCGTCACCATATAATTATTTCTCGTCCTGTCCAGATTCAGCATAAAAACTAGTTTTTCCCCCTTTTAATCAACGCAAAACAAACATAGGCACACTCCGAAAATGCCACGAAAACCTCCCAAAAAATTACCATTTGAAAATTGATATTCGAGTGATCTAGTTTCTGCCTCCCAGTTTTCCCATCTCTTCATCTGGAAAATTTAAGAAAGTACTAATAGTTAGGCACAAGGACCATAACAACCCACAGTTATGTCAATAATGACTCTTATTATAACTCGAGTCCTTTTCAAGACTTCAATGTAACCAAGCAAACAGGTAATAAGGCCCCAGACAACGTCAACGGTACAATTTCGACACGGCATCTCACCAAAGCACACGTAAAAGCAAACCGCGAATGGAGACACCTCTCCTAGTGTGCAAGAATGTGAACAAGGCGAAAAAGTCTACTTCGAGAAACAGATATTAAGTACCTTTATAGTCCCAAGACTAAACGTGAGGAAACTGCAGAGGACGTGGGAGAAAGCCAAAAAGAATATCAACATCTGAAGTTGCTGCACACCAACTCTTGATATCAAAGAAACCATTCCCTGTATGGACAATTATTGAACCCGAAAGATCAAATTATGCCTAAAAAGCTAAAAAAACCGAAACCAAATTCTATTTTCACTACAAATAATTCAGAAAGTAGGAATAATAATACTGATTTAATTGGTAAACAAAGAGTAAATTAAGTTGTTATGGTTAACCTGCTGCTGACATTTGGATTCCTCCTCCATAACACTAGTGAGGCTTTTGCAAGGAAGGAAAGATTCGCCGACACCTCTCGGAATACATATGCTCGCGATTCGCCTCTCGAGTACCGACAGTAACAAGGAGATAAACCCCAAAAGCATCAAATCTGCGCATCACATATCAAGTATAAATTCTCCGTAAAAGAAAAAAGTAAGGACAAAATCCAGGGGGAAAAACTAACCTGATTTGATCTTGTTAAGAGCATGAAGAAGAGACCTTCGCCTCTTTCTTCCAAAATACTGAAATTATCAAATAAAGAACAGCACTCAACAATTGAAATCAACCAACAACAATACATTCTGATCCGAATCGAGTTGAAATCATTGCGCATAAAAATTAGGACTCGTGTAGTACAGCAAACTACAAAATGCATGACGTGGATCGAGTGTAACCTTAGCTACGAGACGAAGGCCGTGCTCGATGAGGACGGAAGTCGCAATCAGAACGAAGCAAACCGCCGCCACCGCCCACGTCGCCGTGACTTCGATGGAGGCGCTCTCGCCACCGCCGCCGGTGGTCATCCTCCGCTGCTACGGGTACACAGCGAACCAGTTGCCGGCAAAACAGAGGACGAGTAGATTATAATGAACACGAGTTCGAAAAAATAATATATAAAAAAAAAAAATGACGACAGGCAAATGGCGCGGCTCAAATGGGTATGAGGTTTTATGCGCGCCAAACGAGTGTCTCACCGCTGAAGTATCCTAAAAACGGCGTCGTTCTGTGGGAGTAAGAACGCGGTCGGTCCATAATTTTATTTTATTTTATTTTATTTTTAATATAAAAGTTAACATAGTGGGGACCTTGGCTGGTGTTCAGAAAATAAAAGAAGGAGCTTTTAAAAGTGAAGATTATAACTGCATTTTGAATTTTACGTAGACGGCGACAAACGACTGTATGAGCTGTGTGTGAAGATTTGAATCTATTTGGGGAGTGTTTATACTTTATATTAGTGCATTTGTTTTTGGAAGATGCTACGATTCCTTCGGGTTTGTAACCGTTAAATCAACTATCTCTGACGGTTACATATGATCTAACGGTTACAAACCCGATGGAATGGTTCCGTGATGAAGTCTTATTTGCCGTTTGATATGATGTAATTATAAATTATGTCTCATAATAATAATTAGTTGAATAAATTAAAGAAGATCAAACTTTTGAATAATCTTTAAAAAATATCAATATACCTAAAGTTCCATAAAACACAAAAAAATGTTTTACATCATGACCATCATTAGACATGTCGATCTGTCATACATAGTTTACAAAATACATACTTACTATAAAATATCGTATTTTTTTTTATTCATGTTCAACCATTATGCATACAAAGTAGTCTTACGATCCATTAAAAAGTAAGGATTTCATCAACACTAAACAGTTTTGCTATAAAAGCCAACAGTTTATTTCATAGTGAAACCAACCTTTTATATACAACAAGTAAAATCATACCATATTCTTTGATTACTTAAATAAATACTAAAAATCTTATTAATATAGTATAGTTACTGTTGTATATATAGAAAGTTGGCTCCACAATAGAGTCAGCTGTTGACTTCATAACAAAACGAGGGAACCCGAAAACGAGGTTGATAAAAGGAGATATTTTTTCTTTCTCCACCTAATATTATGACACCAATTTGTGGAATTAGCTACTAGCCTACTAATTGTTTGTGATACTGATCTGCCACCAAAAAAATTGCTTCTACACACAAATATGAACGCAAGAAATTAATTAACACACACACACACACACACACACTTCACAGGTGAATAATTTGAAAAGGAAAGACCTATGAACGGTAGCAAAGAGACCTACACAGATGGCCTTTCGTGTTTGCTCAAAATAGCCGATTTCAACAAAAACGCGTTCCAATTTAATGACAAAGAGTCAACAAACGAAAACAAATTCTAGCAAAAAATTTCTTCTAACACAATTAACAAGGTTAGGCCCAGAGGGACCACCCAATAATTTAACTGGGGGCCACATAACATAATTCCTTGAGTAGAAAAAGGTGAAAATCGAACTCACATGAAACCTGCATTTCCACACTCGTGATTCCAACAATCAAGGTTCCGGCCCGGCCCGGCCCGGCCCGGGAAGCAAATTAATCTTGCTGAATGGCTTAAATAGGAGAAATTTCAAATTTACACTTCGAATACATAGCCGGTCCATGGTTACGACCTAAAATAAAAATCGCACATCGAAAAAAAATGTCGCCGTTATACAATACACGCCCGTCGTGGAGTTTAAAAGTCATCGTCATTAATTTATTAAATAACAAACCGCAACACGTGGAACCGCCGGGCCCCGACGAAAACCGAATCGAAACAGACATTTAACTCTCGTCAACCCAGCATGGAGATTTCATAACGCGTGACAATGTCCATTATCTCCCACAAATCTCATACTTAAAGGGCGATATCGAGAAGCCTGTCTCGTACCGAATGCATATCGTGCACTTTGGTACAACTACTGGCTATTACCTTGGCCACCAGTGAAGGTTGATGATGATAGGCCTGCTCCTCATTGCAGGGGAAAGTGTTACTTTCATGGCCATAAGCTGAAGGAGATGAACCTGTTGGATTTTCTCTTTTACCTTCTAAAACTTTCCCCTCGGTCAATGGAAACCCAAAAAGCCTGCAGCTATCTTTGCACATCGAAACAAAATTTGGATTTTCTCCAAAGAACGGTCGAGTCGAAACCGGACGGTGGTGTGTAAATCCCGTTTGTCCACGCACTTCTGGGCCAAGTAGATCTTCCCTGACCGAGCCATTTCCAAACTTATTCAAAATCCTATGTGAAACAGAAAATGGATCGTGATTGATTGCCCTGCTGGACTTATGCAATGAAGTGAACTGAGGAGGTACAAACGGTTGCATGTTAGCACTGTGGGCCCGGGCCTGGGCCTGGGCCTGGTTTAAAGCGGGCCAGCTGTTTCCAAGCCTCGGCCCAATTTCTTGACCTTGCAAGACCTTCTGGTGGAATTGAAAGGATTGCTGCCCGAACGAACTATTCTGGGCATCTGCAGGGTATTGAGTGATGCTGGTGTTTGCTCCCCCGGCACGGAATCTGGAACCGTTGGGTCTCGGATAGCACCTCATCATGACATCCGGTGTGTGCTGCCCGAATGCAAACACTTCTTGACCTTGCAAGACCTTCTGGAATCTTAGAGGCTCGCCAAACTCCGAAACCTCACTCCCATCTGTAGATGAGTAGAAAAAATAATTAATGGTATTAGATAGAATTTTGGAAGGAAAGCAAATTTAAGTGGAAAAACTAGGATTGGACCTCCAGGAAGTGGAAGATCGGGCTTCGCTGTGGGAAAGCCGACCCGGTTTCTCTTGGTTCCAGGTAAGACGAAGCTGTTGGGCCCGGAGACCGAGCCCGACAGCTCAATGTCCCAAGGGGAAACCCTATTGAGGCGGTTAACCTCCATATCATCCCATCTGACCTGAAATATCAGTTTGGAATTGGTTTTTCTTAATATTGTGAAAGAGTGAACTGTACTAGCACCAAATGATGACATAAACATGGACTGAGCATAACATGCACAATCTAAAATGGGGGACTATGCATCTATTAGTACAAATTGAAGGAAATGTACGTGCCACTGTTTCGATTTCGTGACGCAAAATTGTGCTTTCATGTTATCTTACTTGATTAAAAAAAAAAAAAAAAAAATGCACCCATAAATGTAAATTCAAATAAATTTATTTTCATATTTTAGTGTCGTGTTATGTCCTGCCACGTGATACTTTTCCTTGTTAATTGCATTTCAGTTGTTCCACAGGACCACAGCCACCCTATATATGATGAACCCAACACTTGATTAGGTTCCTTAATTATCTAGGTCAGCTAAAAGATGGCAGACCTATAATGTAAAGTTATCTCAGTGAGTAAATATAATGAGCAACAGAGGACCATGAAATTAAATATGCCCATCCAAGTAACAAAATTAGCCATAATTGGCCAACAACTTACCAGTAAGCACTTCCACTTTGAACCAGGCCATCTTTTCGGGTCCGCATCACTAACCCCAACAATGAGGCCTCCACACCTACAAATTCGAAGTTAGATCTCCAGATAAATTCAATGTATGAAGTCTTAGACCATAAGATACCAACCTCCTGTCAGACGTATCTTCTGTTTCAAAACGCACTTTAAATCTCATTCCACAAGAAAAAGGCTGCGAGAGGCTCTTTGAGAACTTATGATAAGGTACAATGATCTCAGATGAACGAGCTCTGGAAAACAGGTTCAAAATTAAGACGCACCCGGCGGAAAAGGAAATATAAGAAAGTAAATCCATGCTGTAAGAAACGGGGGCAAACACCTCACTGAAAGTATAAGAACGTAGGAAGGAAATATCAAAACCAACTATTTAGTAAGTACATATTTCAGGTAGCATACAAAACAAGGTAATGTTAGTTACTTCCTCCAAAGCCATATGTAAGACAACCTATCTTTGTCTTTTATTTTTCCCAAAAAAAAAAGAAAACATGCACATAGGTCTAACTCATGCATTTCACCCCATACTAGTTAATACTTAGGTAGAGAGAAGAACACACAAGCAATAGGGAAATTATAGCTAAAACTAATTCATCACAAATAAATAGCATCAAAAAGACTAAACAAATGCCCATAAGTTGAGTCCTTGTAGACTTTCTATGTCCGCTTGTATCAGTTGAGAAGCAAATAGACATTGTATTGATTGAATAACTACTATAAACATATTTATATACCTCGGATTGTAACAAATGTCGAAAGTACTTCCCATGGTAATGGCACTCACAACAGAAACAAGGCTGCTGGCTTTAAACTGTTCACTGTTAGGAGGGAGGACAGTAGCACTGGTTTTAACTTGCATAGCTCGACGAATCCCAAGCCTAAGTTCTCCATCACCACCTCTGTAAAAATATGATTGGACATAAGAATTCCAAGGAATTTAACTAGGTGTGCAATAATGAACAAAATTTCAACCTTAGAAAAAGCACGGCATCTCCAGATACCAACTTCTTCTTATTGACAAATGCACTCCATCCAGTAGTTAGCAAATGCCTTCGAGGCTGGCCTGCACCACATTTTTATTTAAAAAGAAAAATCAAGTTATACAAACTAATGAAAAAATGTTTTAAAAAAATAAAAAAATTCAGAGCTCAAGTAACAGGCACCAACAGTTTGATAAATCACCTCTGTAGATATGCCTAAATTTCCACTCAGTCCCATGCAAATCTTTAGCTACAAGCTCCTGTGATGGTCTCTGCTGTTTGTAATCCTAAAAACAGAACGGATATACTCATGAAGGCACACGACACAACATAATCCGTTCACTTCACCACAAGTTTAACTTATGTAACAAAACTATTAATATTAAGAACTTCAATTACCAGAGGAGGAAAGCAATCCTCTGCAGCACGACGGGGAACCGAGAAGCCACCATGAGTGCTGGTATCAGACGCCGTTAAAGTTTTACAGAACATGTGAGGTGTCAATGATTTCACAACACCGTCAACGTCATCATCCCCCGCCTCTCCTCGTGTTATTCCTTCTCTCCAATTTTGCTCAATCTACAGGAGATAAGTTTTAATTGATTAAATGCTCATATGACCATATTAAAACAGCATTTTGTAAATTATACCAAACAAATGTGTTTGCATTTATACTAACCGAATTCCCTTAGTAGAATAATTTACATCACTAACAAAGAACTCCACTTATAAATTTTCTTCCTTGAAAATTTCAGCAATATATGTTCAGAGTGACATTACATTCATCCCTGAGTGGCACAAAATCTACTAAATTCATCAAGGTAACAAAAATATATGGGCAGAGTCATCATGATTTTAATATCAGATGTATATAACATTTAAGGGAACGATATTGATCCTACGAGATCTAAACATTCAATTCTTTGCCTCATAACAGAAACAGAAAAGATTGCCATTTTTAGAGGTCAAAGGGAGAGCAAAACTCAGATTAGATAAGAAATTTTCACTTGTCATAAATTCATGGAAGGACCCATTTTCTATAAATAAATTGGTTTGAATGATGGATTGGATCATACAGTTGTAATCTTACAAGCTTCAATTTTTCCAAATAAAAAAAAAGAAATATCATGAAAAAAAAAAAACA